GGGTCTGTTGTGCCTCCCCCATTCAGAGCTTGACTCCACATTCTTTCGCCCTGGCGTTGGCCGTCCTCCATGCACGCTGCCCACTGAGCTCACTCACCACATCAGCTCCACCGCCTGCCTCCCTGCCACCAGCCAGCTTTTCTGTGTTTATCCAAGTCTCTGCTCAAATCTCTGAAACCGAGACCTTTGTGATCAAGTTCAATCTCCTCGGCCAGTTACATTAGCCACCATTTCAGCTTTCACCACTGACTTTCCAGCCTCTCGTAGTGACCGGGTGGCCTGGGGTTTCTGAGCCCCCAGGCTGGGTCCTGGTGCTGGAGGATGTGGAGCTGACCAGCTGGGTCATCTCCCCTGGGGAGACCCACCTGCCGGAGGAGAGACTGAAGCCAGGGCCAGGCCAGCTGTGGCGGGGGGAGGCCTGGCCTGGGCTTCCTCCACGGCATCCGTCACGGAGCCACTGCCCTGCTTTGCTGTTTCTGCTTAAACTGCCTGGGCTGGGTTTCTGCCACCAGGGAGCCCCAGCCGCTGGCAGCCAGAGCCGGCACAGCCTCGACTCCATGACCTTTGGTTTTATCCTGGGCCACGGCCCTCACCTCTCCTGGCCTCTTGCAATCCCAAACACAGGAGCTGCCCCCCTGCCTCCAGGCACACACCGTGTCTTCTGTGTCCTACCAGAGGCCCTCCAATCTCCTGGTCCAATGCTTCCTCCTCCCTGTGACCACCTCACATGCTCCCACCAGCCTCCAGCACCGTGATTACTGCCAACGAATTGGACCGCCCCGCCCCTGCCCCCGCCGGCCTGCCCGAGGCTGGGAGCAGCCTGCTGCTCTGTCCTGTCCTCAGTGCCCCAGTGCTGCCTGCCCAGAACAGCCTGTGGGACTGAGCCCTATCCTGTGGATCTGACACTCCCCCGGGAGACATGTCAGAACCGAAGTAAACTGCAGGACACCCAGCTCATGTCGCAGGATTGCTTGGTGCCCCCTGCCTGTCTGGTGAGCAGAAGTGTCAGGAGTGTTCCAAGAGCCTGGTGTGCATTAAAAAGGAAAACAGTGGGGCTCCTCCCTCAGCACCCCTGTTACAGGTGACGCCACCTGTATGGACCGGCGTGTGTCTCCGACCGCCGTGTGCTGTCCCCTGGGACGGATTCCAGAAGAGGATGAGCAGGCCCAGCGGCGGGCGTGAGCGTGTCAGGCTGGGCTGCCAGCAGGACATCCTCCTCTCAGCACGGAGGAGCTTTAAACAAGCTGCTATACTGTAGCTGGGAGCTTGTCCTAACTGCATGTTGAGTATGAGTGAGATTGTGGAACTTTGAGGTTATTCCTCTTCCAAGGACACTTTCCCATTGAGCTTTAGAGAGAGATACACCGACTGATTGCCTCCCACACACACTCCAACTGAGGATCGAGCCCGCAACCCAGGTACATGCCCTTGACTGGGAATCGAACTCACAACCTTTTAGTGCTTGGGCCGGTGCTCTAACCACTGCTCAGGGGAAGAGTGTACTTTTTTAAAGGTTTATTATAAGCTTTTAACATTTCTTTTATGATTGGTTTGCAACAGATTACTGTTTACCTCACGGTCACGGTGTGACAAGTGTCACCTGCAGGCAGTCCTGCGTAAAGGGCACTAATGGGGGTCTCGTGGACGGCAAGCAGGCCCGGGGCCTTCCTGGTGTCAGCTGTGGGGATCTGCTTGCCTGTCTGCAGTCACAGGGCTGGGGGAAGTCTTAATGGCTAAACACAAACAACAAGCTACGTTTATACAAACAAAACCAACACATTTATATGAACAAAATAAATGTACATGGAAAGCCTGACATCCGGGCCTCTTCCCAGAGAGCAGTGACTTGGGAGCTGGGAGGCTGGAGCCCCCAGGGGGCAGGAGGCGAGGGGTCGCTTTCTTGCTTTGGGAACGGCCTCCTGGGAGGGCGCCCAGGGAATGCACCACGCATCTCCCTGAAGGCAGGTCACACCTCAGCAGTGACAGCACGGAAACGGAGCTCGGCTGCAGTGTCGTCCTGATGTGCCAAGGTTGCAGGTTCCATCCCCGGTCACGTGAGAACCAACCAATGAATGCATAGGTAACAAACTGATGTCTCTCTCTCCTCCTTCCTCTCTCCAAAGTCAATGAGTAAAATAAATAGCTGGCAAGGACGCTCCCCGTGACCTGGGCCATGCCCACCATGCCCACCTGCAGGCTATGGTGTGGAGGCCCTGTCATGAGAGCTGTGTGACAAGCATGACTGTCCGGGCTCTGCACACGCTCCACCTCCCAGACCCTCTGTGATGAGGACCGGTGCCCCGTTTTCCAGGTGGAGACACACTTGCCAAATCACATGGCTCTTAAGCCATGGGGCCGGGTTTGAAGCCAGGCCACCAACCTCAGAGCCTGTTTCCCAACACATCAGGCCTGATGCCCACGCCTTGCCGTATGGCTGGAATGGCTTTCTGGGCTCTCACCGCACACACCTGGCCAGCGCAGGGCAGGCCTATGCCCACCAGAAGCTGACGGAGAAGCTCAGGTCCAGGGCCCGCACGTAATGCCAGTATTTAACGGGGATGAACAGCAGCTCTCCTGGGGACAGGATGCAGGACAGGAATGGGGCCTCCGCAAACCTGGGGAACTTCTCCAAGTCGGGATTCTCCACGTCAACCTGTAGGGAGCAGAACAAGTCACATGCCTGCCTCCGGGCGGTGGGGGAGGAGCTGTGAGACCACGCGGACCCACCTGGCTGGTGTTGTGCAGAAGGTGCGTGTCATGAGGGTAGACCGCCTCCGACTCCTGCGGGGAATACAGGCGGATGTACTTCCTCCCGAGCACCTGGAAGAGAGCGACCATCAGTGAGCCGGCTGCAACCTCACCTCCCGCCGCTGCTCCACACTGACTGCAGGTCCCTGAACCCCCTCCCTGCCTCTCTGCACCTTCCACGCTGCTCCCGCACCAGCCAGCCCCATCCCCATCCCCGCTGCACGTGTGCCGAGTCCAGCGTCTGTCCCTCCAGGTCCACTGCAGACCAGCCAGCGCCTGTCACTGTGGCCGATCGCTAGGCACTGCTGTGACAGCCACCGTCCCAGCACTTCACATGGACCAGCTCCGACCCCACCGCCAGGGGGCGGGTCCTCCCACCACAGAGCACAGGGCCGGTGAGGCAGCGTGAGCTGCCCGGTTCACAAAACGCTGGGGCCAGCGGTGTGCAGGGGGCAGCCTGCTCTGTGCACCCATCCGCCTGGCTGGAGGCATGTTCCCATCGGTTGGACCCTGTGCTTAGGAAACACTAACGCGGCTGCACAGCTGCCCTCCCTTGCCCTCTTCCAGGTCCCAGGAAACCAGGGGCCGAGCAGCTGCTCCCCATGGGGAGGGTTCTGGCAGGAGAGGCCAGCCAGGCAGGGGCAGGAGGGGAGGCAGCCATGAGGCAGCACTGGGCCGGGCTCGGGAGCAGCAGGTGCTCTGGAGGACTCCCACCTGGGCCAGGAAGTTCTGCTGGGGATCCTGGTGAAGGGGGGACACGGTGCCCGGGGGCCCAAACCAGGCGTTGATGGTGATCTCTTCCTCCTCCCCGTCGCCCAGGCAGCAGTAGTCAGGGATGCTGATGTCCTGCTTCAGCTCCGGGATCTGTGGGGGGCAGAGCAGGCGTGGGAGGCGAGGCCAGGCCGGGCCCGCCAGCCCCGAAGGCACAGGGCTACCGGACAGAAGGCCAAATGCTTGCTGTCCTCCTGTGTAATACACGACTGGGCGTCACGCTGGACAGGAATTTAAAACTCAATTTGGAAAATGTAATCATAGGGAAGAGCTATGACTTTCTGTCAGATCTGTTTCCATGTCACACGCATTTTGTGTGTCTTTCCTTTTAAAAACCCAACACCGGTGCTTTGTCTTTGTACCTAAGGAAAGCCAGTTAGGGGCGTCCGGCGACATTTTCACTTAAATGCGCTCCTCTCCCCTCTCAGGCTGCACAAGAGGCTCAGGCAATCTACGTGAATATAATTTCTTATAAATGTGTCTTTAATGGGTTTAATTCACCCTTAAAAAAATAAACCAGTTGGTAATTTTCTTTTTTTCTTTCAGGTAGTAATTTTCTACAGAGTTAATCATTTTAAAAAATCAGAACAAAAAGAAAATGGGACTGATGATCACATCTCTGGGGGAAGAGCTCCCAGATTTACCAAAGGTAAAGAGCGACGGCCGCACGCGCCCAGTACCGTAGTTATAAAGACCAGCGGGCCAGCACCCGACTGGAGCAACTGTGATAAGTAAGGGTTAGCGTACACAGTTCGTTCAAAATTATAAGGATCCCACTACAAAGGACAAAAACGAGATAATACCTAGAAATGAATGAGATATAAAGGCGCGGTTCAGTCCCGTTAGCAAAAAATCCAAACGAGACGTCATCGTTTCCCACCCATCAGACTGAAGAGTGACAGCAGCCAGCGTGGTGAGGATGTGGTGGAAGGGGTGCCCACGCTGGGCTGCTGGTGCGCCACGCGGGAAGCCATTCCGATAGCGAGGCGGTCCTGTGCACAGGCTTCAAAGCCTGCGCGTCTGACAGATGGAAGCGAGCTGTGCTGTGCTCCTGGGTGGGGGTGGGAGTGGCCCACGAGGCTGTGATGTCCCGCTCCCCAGAGGAGGAGGAGGCTGCCAGGAAACCAGGTGCTGTGGGCTCGCTGCCCGCACCATCAGTGTCTGCATCTCCTCTGACATCAGTGCGTCCGATAAGATGTACTTTAAGATGGTCCCCCTACTGCTTCCTCACCGCCCCTGCCTCCCCAGCCCACGCCCTCTTTTGGTCAGAGGCAGCCTGACATCTTTGCCTCAGAGGAGGAGGAAAGGAGGACATTGGAAATCAAGGTGGCTTCCTCCTCTAAAAGCCCGGGAGGGTATAGAGCCGGCACACAGGCTGGGCACAGGGACCGCCCGAGACGACAGTCTGCCCTCAGTGAGTGAGAGGAGACGTTTTCCCTGCGAGCCCAGCCCGTTTTGTACTCAACCAGACCTCCTTTGTGGCTTTAACTCATGCGATTCTTTCTGGGCCCAGGCTTCAGTTTCCCTGGAATTTCCCAAAGCCTCAGGGCCACGGCCAGGGCGGGCAACCCTGGCGGTGCGGGCAGGGTGCTGGTCCTGGCCTCAAGTGGAAAGAACCAGCCAGCAGCTCCCAGTAAAGACACCTCTCACCCTGGATGAACCCACCTCCTGCCCTGACCCCCAGTGCCGGCCCCACCAGAGCAGCCTCCAGCTGCACCCCGAGGGGTGTGGGTCCCTCACAAGCCCGGGCGGGGCCAGCTGAGCCCAGCGGCCTTCCCAGCCTGAGAGGGCTGGGACCTGCCCAGAGCCGCTTCTGCTACTCGCCTCGGGGCTTTCAGAGGAAGCGCCTGGTGGGAAGGTGCCCAGTGTCAGGTGCCAGGTGTCCTGGGCAGGGAGCCTGGCCACGCCATCCCTGCAGGGGGGCTACTGCGAGTTGGGGTGCTGGGAACAGCTGGAATGTCCTGCAGGCACCCTGACCAGACCCTGCAGTCTGCGGTCTAAGTCTGTCTCAGCAGCCGGTGTAGACGCAGAAACGCGTCTGTGGACACTGCTCGGGGCTAAGGGAGAAGGCCCTGTCCGCGGTTTCCTGGGATCACCCCATCCCAGGCCCGGTCCGCGGTTTCCTGGGATCACCCCATCCCAGGCCCTGTCCGCGGTTCCCGGGGATCACCCCCCAGGCCCTGTGGGATGCTGAGCAGCTCACTGGTTCCTGATGACATCATCAGGATTTCTGAAAGGTGACTGGTTGATGTTATCAGAGCAATGGCCCAGGACTCAGAGACCCCAAGAGAAGAAAGCCTCCCACAATATGACTTATAGTTAAAAGCAGGCCTAGTGCAGTCGCCAATATATCCTAAACCTGGGGCCTCTGGGAGGAAGCCAGTAAGAGACACTGGGCAAGAGGTTGAGTGGGAGGCCCTGAGCCTCGTGTGGGCAGAGAAGGCCCAAGAACAGTGCAGAGGCCCCAGCCCCTCCGCCCCGCATGACGCCCCAGGGCCCCGCTGCTCACACTTCCCCACCACGCTCTGAACAGCAGAGGGGAAAACGCCCCTGGGGCCCCAGATAGACTCCAGCAACAGCCAAAACATCTTCAAAATAATCACAAGCTGCCTTCTCTTCAAACAGCTTCCTCTTGTTCTCCTCCGATGGCTGCTCCAGGGCAGGGAGCCATATTCCTGTGGCTCACAGCCCCTGGGAGGCCGTGCCCAGTGTGACTGAGGTCTTCGATCACACAGGAGGGCTGGTCAATGAGAACCCCCTCTCTTCCTAGCAAGAGAGTCCAGGAGACAGGACCTGTGAGCCCTAATACGGGAGGCCTGGGGAAAAGACAACACGCCCACCCAGCCTGCCCTAACTTTGGGGTGGAGGTTCCTGGAGGCTGGCGCAGCCCCTACTGAACCTGGGACCCCCTACTCCACCCCGGGACAGGCAGTGAGGATAGCGTTGGCAGACAGGGGCCCAGGCCATGCTTGGCTGTGGTCCTGCCACCGACTCACTTGCCTGGCCTCGCCTCCTGCGGGAGCTGCCTTCCCTGGGCATTACTGCTGCCCCCCTTTACCCCCCACCCGTGTATCTGGCTTGGCTGAGACCACACCAGCACCTCTCCTGGACTCCTTCATGTAATGAGTTGGTTGGCTCCCAAATCCAGGAATTGTCCTTGATTGCTCCCTTTCCCTCAACCTTGGTCACCCACCAGTGTCCAGGTGCCAGCACCCCACATGCTGTCAACACCACCCTCCAGTCCCCATCACATTCGGAAAACTGTCCTTCCTCACCCAGCCCCACCTACCTCTCAGCCCCCACCTACCTCTTAGCCCCCACCCCTTGAAGGTGAAAGTTCACTCCTCTTGCTCCCCTTGCTGGGCACCCTTCTCTCACCTCCTCACATGGCTGGCCACTGCTCACCTTTTGGGTCCCTGTCCCTGGCTGCCCCACCCAGAGAGCCACTCTCCCGCCAGCCTCCTCCTGGAGCCCCTCCTTCCTCTGGGGGCTCCTCACCATCTGAGGTGATGGGCTTAGGCCCCCGGGGGCAGGGAGTGATGCTGACGTCTTTAGCCCCGTATCCAGGGCAGACCCAGTGTGCTTGGTGCACGGGGGCCTACAGAGAAGCCCACTCCCTCCTGGCCCCGGGTCCTGGCCCAGCCACACCCCCAAGTGCTGAGTGAGAAGTGGGGGGTGGGCACGTGGAAGGGCCTGGGCAGAAAGCCGAACTTCACCCCTTTCCCCAGGACGAGCCTCCTCTGGCCGCCCGGCGTCCTCAGTAGACAGCGCTGCAAACGGAGCGCAACCTCATTCCTGCCACTTCTCTTGGTTCTCGGGTTGTTTGCATTTAAAAACAAGTCTACCTTTTCTCATTATGATGAGCGCTCATACTCATTCTAGAGGATTTGGAAACTACAGAAATGAGAAGGAAAAGACCGCTCAGCGCCCACAGACAATCACTGCTATCTTCTGTGGCATTTCCCGTCTTCAGCACAGCGAAGCGCATCCTTTACGTAATCCTGCACCCTGGTTTTCTCCCTCCCACAGCCAGGACGTCCGAGCTCCCGTGGCCGCTTCGTGAGCTCCAAGTGTGGCGGCTCTGGAGCCCCCGTCACCTCGAGCCCAGCCACCGAGCCCCAGGATGGAGGCCACATGGCTGGGAGCTCCCAGTGATGCCCATGCCGGCCAGGGTCACGCTCTGCTGTCTGTCCACAGGCGCTGATTTGTGGCAGCGGCACCTCTGCTCCCTACGCTGTGTACCTCCCCCCACCTCCCATCACTGTCCCTCGCAAGTACCCCGGCTCCCTGGCTGTCCTGCTGGATTCCATTGGAAATGCTGCCTCTTACTGGGAACTCTCCTGTTAAAAACCTCACAGGGCTCCTTGCTGTTTTCCAGATAAATCTGAGTTCTTGGCCTGGCATTCAAGGCCCTCCCCAGTTTGGCCCCAGCCTCCCTCCTCGCCGGCTCCTTGCTCTGCAATTCCGGACAAACCCTCCCCGGCTGGTTGATGTACCCAACACGGCCGTCCCACTGGCCCCTCTGGCCTCTGAGTGAGGCACTGCCCGCTGGGAGCTCCTCCTGCCTCTGGCCTCGCTGCGCCCCCTTCCTCCCGGCTGCAGCCTGCGCCCCCTTCCTCATTCAGTCTTCAGCAGGTGTGTCCTCGGGGCCTTAAACCCGGCCCACCAGGCTGGGTACCCAGGGAGTCAAACCCGGCCCTGCCACGAGTGCGCAGGCCCAGGGTGGGGAGAGCCTTGCCGGGGACATGAGATGTGTAAGGGCGGTGCCAGGACCTGGCCAGAAAACTGTTGCAGGGAAGGCAGCGACTTGCCCTTGCCTGGCTGCCTGGGACTCCTTCTCCAGTTCTGACTACACCTGAAGCTGTGGACTCCACCAACTACCCCCTCCCCCTGCCCCACCCCCTTCGCCATCCTGGGGCCCTGGGCTCTCAGGCCTAGTGGCCTTGCCTGCTCTCCTGCCACCTGCACAGGGCGCCAGTCTGCTCTCTGCAGGGAGCAGCACCAGTGGGTGGCAGATGAGGCTGCTACCCTTTGCTGCCCTCTGGGGTCAGAGCCCAGGAAGGGAGCAGAGGAGCTGAGAGTGAAGGGCAGATGAGCGCAGTCTCAGACCTACCTGGTCAAAGAGCTGGTGCTGGGCCAGGTACCCGACGTCCCTTGGCTGGTCCATGGGAGAAAAACCAGAGGCAACACAGAAAGCCCGTTAGTGGTGATGGACGCCCTCCAGGTGCTACTATTGTGTAGCTGGCTCTCAGCACCCATGCCCCTGCCCCTGCCTAGCGGGCAGCCCCGCAGAGGGCCCCCTCTGTCCTGCTGGTCCCCCTCCTCCCACCCAGCGGCTGATATGGTCTCAGGACCCGTGCTGCCTCTGCCAGAGCTTGCTGGAGCTTGTCAGCCTGTGCCCAGGGCTCAGTTGACTCAGATTAAAAATGAAGGGGCAGGCCTTGGCCAGGGAGCTGAGTTGGTTAGGCATTGTCCCTATACACCAAGACTGTGGGCTGGATCCCTACTCAACGCACATACATGAAGCAATCAACGAATGCAGAAGGGGAACAAATTGGTGTTTCTCCGCCTTCCTCTCTCTAAAATCAATTTAAAAAAAGGGCAGATACGTTGGTTAGATCACTCCTTTCTGCCGTGGAGCCGCGGAGTCAGCATCGCTGGTCCCCCTCCCCCAGTCACCAACCCCACTAAGTCCGAGTCTCCCAAAGAGCCAATGGCTGCCAAGGCTCTTCATCGGAGGTTTGAGCTTTGAAACAATGATGTGAGTCGGAGGAGCCCTTCTGAGCCAGGGGGACACAGGCTGCGATGAGACCCATCACCAAGCGCCTCTAGGCTCTGGGTTTGTCATGATGCCAAGCAGGTGGATGCAGCCACGAATGCCAGGTCAGCAAGGGCTGTGTCCAGAGGCATCTCAAAGACCTGGTCCCCACCGCACTGAGGAAGATTTCTGCTGGATGCATTGAAGAAGACACAGGAGAACTCGCCTAACAGGCTATTCCGAACTGTGGGAAGATGGAGTGATTGAAACCATGACTGAGCCAGGCAGGGGCGAGAGGAGAGGTTGGCTTTGGTGACCTGACTCCATAGACAAGACTCTCATTCAGAAATACCATCCTGCGAATGGCCACACTGAGAAGTCGGGAGAGCCCTGTCCAAGCAAGAGATGGCCAGGGCCGAAGAGGTCGAAGGGTTCTGGAAACTTCAGAGGTGGCCGTGGAGGTGGTTTGGTGGGAACGACGACTTTGGTCGTGGAGGGAGCTGTGTGGCTGAGTGGCTTTGGTGGCAGGGGATAGTAGCTGTCATGGGTTGGTAATGATGGAAGCAGCTTTGGAGGTGGCGGAAGCTACAGTGATTTTGGCATCTTCAAATTGTGGACCCGTGAAAGGAGGAAGCTTTGGAGGCACTAGCAACCCAAGAGGTTAAGTCACCAGCCAACGACACACAGCCAGCCAGGGCCAGCGCTGGATACAGTGCCGTTCTGCCTGAACGGCAAGTGCACATGCTGACCCGCGCACACCTTCTGCCTCTGCCGAGAAAGCAGGCTTCCTCCTGGCGGAGGGAGATGCCCAGGCCCACGGGGTGCATGCCTACAGCAGAGGTGGACGTGCACACGGCATGTCTCTAGCCACAGCTCCCTTTCCAGGCCTCCAGGTGACAGTGCACTGAGCAGAGATGGGGCCGGGAGGAACGCAGAAGGGGGAATGGAAGGACGTCTGTGAGCCCTGCTGGAGGGGCCCCGCAGCCAAGTGAACGGCACCGAGTGCCGTGGAGGAGGGGAAATGCAGGAGCGCAGAGGTGGGTCAGGAAGGGCCACTGGGTGGTCTGTCAGGTGAGAAGGTGAGAAGGCCAAGCGAGGAAACCTTAGCCCCATGGTCACTGACCCGGACCGTCAATGCCGCAGACCCATGAAAACCGGTCAGAGCTTTACAGAGCCCCTGGGCTGGGGGCGGGTTGCCGGGCGTGGCAGAAGAGCTGCAAAGCACTGATGCTGACTGCGCACACCTGTGGAGGTCCTTGCCCACCACAGGTGCGGGTGGACAGCGCCCCCTGAAAGCTCCCCTTGTCCCAGCCAACAAAGATGGTTCAGGCCCCCGCAGACAAGCTGCATTCCCGGCCTCGCTAGTCAGACTCTGAAATGACAAAACGGCGCAGCTGCTTTGGAAAACAGTCTGGCAGTTCGTTCCTACAAGGTGAAGCGCAGAGCGACCACGTGGCGCTACCAGCAGTGCCACTCAGTACGCACCGAACAGACACAAAACGACGTCCACACACACACTTCACACGAGTGCTTCAGCAGCATTTCTTTTCTAAATCCTCACCCGAGGACATGCTTTTATTGATTTTCAGAGAGAGAGGAAGGAGAGATATGTGAGAGAGAAACACCGACTGGTTGCCTCCCATATGCGCCCCGACCGGGGATGGAACCCGCAACCTAGCTTTGTGCCGACAGGGAATTGAACCCACAACCTTTTTGGTGTATGGGACGATGCTCCAACCAACCGAGCCACCGGCCAGGGCTCCAGCAGCATTCTGATACTGACGGAAAGTGCACACAGCTCAAATGCCCCAATGACGAACGGACAAACAGCACATGGTCTCTCCACACAGTGGAATACGATCAGCCGTAAAGAGGAATGCAGGGCAGCACTGACAGATGCCACAACCCGGATGAGCCTTGGAAGCGTGAGGCTCAGTGACAGAAGCCAGACTCAGAAGGGCACACACTGCATGACCCCATCTACAGGAAATGCCCAGAACTGGCACATCCACAGAAACAGGAGCAGGTTAGTAGCTGCCTGGAGATGGGGGAAAAGGGAGGGGAAGCGACTATGACTTAGTTTGGGGTTTCTTTTGGGAGTGATAAAACTTTTCCAGAATTACATAGTAGGGATGGTTGCACAATGTTAGAATATACTCAAGACACTGAAATGTACAACAAAGTTTTTGAAATGAGACCCTCACGTCCTGTCACGTGGCCCACCTGCCTACCCAGTAGCCTGCCTTCCTGGCTGTGGCCGCCTCCTGACAAGACTCTTAGAGACTGACCACTCCCAACCCTCCAGTGCAGCGCACGGAGTTATGTGCCCAAATGTAATGTGTTCCTCCAATAAGTACTCGAAAGGAGTCAGAATGACATACCTCGTTGAGGATGTAGCAGCTGATGAACTCACTGACCGTCATGAGCCTCTGGGACCATTCCTCGTCGGTGTACCTGGAGCCCACTTCCACCGGGACAGTGCGGCAGCCAGCAATTTCTTGTATATACTCCAAGCTGTCAGAAAACATACACGCCATTTCATCACTATTGCTCGCGCTTGCAGGGCACTCTGCTCAGCACGCTGGACACTGGTCTCCTCTCAGCATCACCACTTGAGGTGGAAGCTGCCACCCCCATTGCACTGACTAACCTTTTGGACCTCACGGACCACCGGTTGGCGACCACTGGACTAGACCCCACGGGCAGAGGTGGGGCTCTGCCCACCTGGCGCTGGATGGCTTTGCGGACAGATCCAATAAACCTCTTTTGCCTCAGCTCTCCCCGGCTGCTCTGCCACAGCTTGCCAGGAGCCTTCTCTCTGCACGCCTTGTCACGCAGCTGAGGAAATGGCCGGCAGTACAGGGTGGAGAAGTGCCTGGGTCTCAACCCCGGTGGCCTGGCATTGACTCCAGGCCCTGCCGCAATAGACCTGGGGATCGAGCAAGTTACCTAACCTCGCTGAGCCTCTGGTCATCACTGCAAAATGGTGGTGACGACTGTGCCTGTCCCACAGGAACCAGGACAAAGAGTTACACATGGCGAGGGCCTGTCTTGGCACCTGGTACGCAATAAAACATGTACCACGCAGCAAACATGCAACACCACTGGCATGCAGTGAAACATGTACCACGCAGCAAACATGCAACACCACTGGCATGCAGTGAAACATGGAACATGCCTGACACGTATGCCGCATGCTTGCTGGCACGTGGGCTGCTGCAGTCAGAGCTCCTGTCTCAGTGGGAGCCACTCCCTCCACAAGGCTACCACCGTGGCAGGCTGACTCGCTCACCCTTCCCTAAGACCCTCCTCATTCCCAAAAAGATGCGCAGCTATGGCGATATGGCCGCTCTCCAGCTGCCAGTCTCCCTGCGCCTGCGCCTGCGCCTGAGGCGGGCCGACAGGCAGGTGTGAGGAGGAAGCAAATACGAGAGACGCAGGAGCCCAGAGGAGGGGACAGGCTGTTTCTGGGGCTCTTATTTCTACTCTGAAATCTCAGGGCCCTCGAGAAAGTGCACAAAATTCCCAAGATCCTACAAAACTGTTTAAGAGACTTAATCCTGGACTGCCCTGAAGCCCGAATTAAAAACGGCTTCGGGCAAGCAAGTGGGAGAGTGAGGGTCTGAGATCTAGCGAAGAGCCAGAGCTCTGACTGTTGCTGTTTGTTTTCAATCCTTACCCGAGGATTTACTTATTTATTATTGTCTAAAGTATTACATATGTCTCCTTTTCCCCATTTTTATTTTTTTAATTTCAGAGATGAAGGGGGAGAAAGAAACACTGATGTGAGAGAGACACATCAATCGGTTGCTTCCTGTATGCACCTTACCAGGGATTGAACCCGCAACCTAGGTGTGTGTCCTGACCAAGAATTGAATCCACAGCTTTTTGTTGTTGTTAATCCTCACCTGAGGACAATTTTTCTACTGACTTTTAGAGAGAGTGGAAGGGAGTGATGGAGAGAGAAAGAGAGAAACAACGATGTGAGAGACACACATTGACTAGTTGCTTCCCAAATGCGCTCTGATCAAGGCTGGGGACCGAACCTGCAACCCAGGTATGTGCCCTTGCCCTGCAGCCTTCAGTGTGCAGGCTGATGTTCTAACCACTGAACCACCAGGCCAGAGCTGTCAGTTCTTGTTTAACCCGCAGCCACCCACCCCAGGGCCTGGTAGTGACCTGTCCAGGGGCCGTGCTACTTAGAGGTGCTGGGGAGGAGTGCAGGGAGTCTGGGAATGCTGAAATGGAGGGAAAAGCTCTGGCCCTCAGCAGCCACCCACCTCCACTTCTTCATGCACGGCCAATGGTCGGCCACGCCTTCCAAGATCACAGGCGTCTGTGGAATCAAATAATGCTTCCTGAAATGCTGCAGGGACGGACAGTGAAGCCGGGGGACCGCTTTCTCTGACCTCATATCGGGAATCGAAACATGGCCATTCCTGGCTTTCTGTTTAAAATAAAACAAAACAGGTGGTAACCACCAAGGAATTTGCATCAATAGTAGGCGAGCTTTGGGGTCATTAATAACAGTAATAGCTAACGCTTATTATCATTATTACTGCTGCTGCTACTGTTCACTTCTCCTGAGAGCAAGATATTTTTTTCTTTACCAGGTCATTTCCAATGTTTGTTCAATTATAAAAGTAGTATGTTGCTTTCACAGAAATTCTGCATTAGAGGAAAACTTACTATCCCACACTCCACCATCTAACATAAGGGCATTCTTTCTCCTTCCCTAGTGCCTTCCCCACCATTTCAGACATGTTGCTGACCCACGGGTAAGATACTCATGATGAACACGCAACTCTGCCTCTCCTGTCCAATAATTTATCTAAAGCAGTTTCCCTGATACCACCAGTCCTTGCAATGTCCCGGGAGTGGTTGTGTTATAATTTTCTTAATCATCTCCCAGCTGACTGACCTGAGTAAGTTACTGTCTCTGAGCTTCCGTTTCCTTATGTTAAACTACTGGGAGACGAGCTCCCATGTGTGAACCCCGGATGGCCGCCTGGCGTGTCAGCGTCCTCTGCCCCATCGCCGGACCCCAAGCCAGTTCTCTATGTTTGCAGGAGTGGCAGCAGCGCAGCGAACATCCTTCCATGCAGGCGATGTGCGGGGACCTGTACCTGCTTGTTCTCGTCACTGTCACAACAAGCTTTTATGTTCACACTAGAGGCCCAGTGCACGAAATTCATGCATGGGTAGGGTCCCTAGCGGCTGCTGGCTGCCTGCTGCCGGCTGCTGGCAGGGCCTTCTTTAGTTCAGCACCGCCCCCTGGTGGTCAGTTAGCACACGTCATAGTAATTGAACTCCCAGTCTCCCGGTTGAACTCCCGAGGGGACAATTTGCCTATTAGCCTTTTATTATATAGGATCATACAAAGAAGCAGAGTAGTATATTTTAGGTACTAAAGCACAAGTAGGAAATGTTATATTCTTCTATTAAATAATTCACTGAAATTGACTAAGCATCTGTTCTACCAGTAAGTTTATTAGGAAGTTTACATAAAGTATGACCACAAATATGAAGTCAGTCTTAATACAGAACTGGGGCTGGTACCTCTAATTTCTTTTGAGTGAATTACCATTGCCTACTAAACTGTAAGATGGATTTTTCTCTGCTAACCTCCTTCCCCT